TGAACATCTCCACTGCTTTACTCCCCTCACCAATGTGTCGGCAAACAATTATGTGTCTTCTGCGATACCGTTTGTGCTCTCTTAACTATGCCATTATAGTCGTGAGCTTTCGGATAGTTACTATCTACTTCCTGAGTGTCTTAATTTGCCTACTTTGTTTAACTGTGGTGTTCAGCGGAAGCAGAATATAAAGAGGCTTTGAAACTGGAGCAGGACAACCAGCAAGCTTTGAAGGGTCTGAAAAACGTGAAAAATCTCAAATCTTCGGGTAACAAACGAGACTACTACAAAATTTTGGGTGTAAAACGAACGGCAAGTGACAAAGAGATAAGTCAGGCGTATCGGGAACTTGCTGGAAAAAACCACCCGGACCGGTTCCCCGATGAGGAACAGAAAAAGGCCGCTGAGAAACGCTTCCTCGATATAAACGACGCTCGCGAGGTTCTACTGGATAAGAGTAAGTAGCATTTGGAACTTTTTTAGGTGCTATGATATCCTAATGCTGACTAGTTTCGCATTCTCACCACTTGGTCACTACGGCATGACCGATTGAGCAAACTTGGTGGATGATTGGGAACCCTAGGCTTGTATTGCACTATTATACTATAGAAATGCGGGCGCAATTCGATAGTGGCATTGATCCCAAGGATCCTGAGGCTCAAGCTCGCAGTGCCTTTCAGACTGGAGAGGGCTTTGCCCACGGGCATCAATTCTTCACAAGTTCAGGACCTTTTGGATTCAATTTCCATAATTTTGATCCCTTTGGTGCCGGCGGTGGGCACTTTGAATTCCACTTTGGCTGACCTCCTTGGCCGGTCATTCTGCCAAGTCTTTCCCCTTTGGTTTCCTTTCTGTATAATATGATATTTTCCTATTTCATTTGTATATAGCAGCAAGAATGGTGACTCTCCTTAGTGCATGTTACAATTGTGCTCCTTTACCGGGAAAGCCCTTATTTGTTAGATCCTGCTTAAGGGACCAATCGGTTTAAATTCAGTTGCTTTTTGTTGACTTTTAATGTTGGTTAACTAATATAAAAACAGTATGGATGGTGGATTGCGTTGGGCCTTGAAAGGTTGCATAATTGTGAACGGTGGCACCTCAGACTCGGACAAGTCTGTTTATCGCAATTTAAGTTGATTTAGTTATGCAGCCTTACTTAATTGGAGTGCTTGACACAAATTTCTTTTTCTCTGACGGTTTTCAACTCGACAGTTATGCTTGATGATTCATTAGTTGCTAGCGTAGCTCAGCAGCAGACATCTTGTTAATCTCTCCCACTTTCGACCTCTTCATTGTTTTTTTTGTGCCTTTGTTAAGAGCCAGTCTCTAATTGGCTGACCAACC